GTCAGCATGTTGGAGGAAACAGGGCCAGAGTGGTTGTCTGAGGAGGTGAAAACCGGAGTAAGTATGACATTTTCAATGTTTTTGAGAGACTTGCTGCCCTTTTATGTGCGCAACGCTGAGTACTCTACGGAATTGCGTGTGCATATAATACATTTTAAATATTTATTACTTTTACCTCTGTTTGTAGACAACCATCATTGCCATTGAGTTTAATGGAGGGGTCGTGCTGGGGTCTGATTCTCGAGTGTCTGCAGGGTAAGTAACAGAGTGTGCATGTATGTAGTGTCCAGTTCTATCTGCATATTCACCGATCAGCCATAATATTATGACCACCTGGGCACCCTGCTGCCTTTGCTCCCCACTTGCATCAATGAGCCTGTCTCCAGTTCACCACTCTTCCTTCCTTGGACCACTTTTGATAGGTGCTGACCACTGCAGACCGGGAGCACCCCACAGGAGCTGCAGTTTTGTAAAGAGTGTCAAAGTTGGTCAAATTCTCATGCTACTTTGTAGATGTTCACTTTCTTCCTAATATATCCCACCCACTGACAGGTGCCATGATAATGAGATAATCAGTGTTATTCACTTCACCAGTCAGTGCTCATGATGTTATGGCTGATCAGTGTATCTTTATCTTTATTAGGACACTAGTGATCCTTAAGTTTCTGAAGAAAACTCTTCTACCTCTCGATGTTTCCTTACATTCAGTGTCCTCTTCTCCGTCTATATCTCTATATCAACATCTCCACTGCACAATCACACTCTTCATCCCTCCATCCAGGGCATCAGTGGTGAACAGGGTGATGAACAAACTGTCTCCTCTCCATGACAAGATCTACTGTGCACTGTCAGGCTCTGCAGCAGACGCTCAGACCATCGCTGAGATGGTCAACTACCAGCTAGATGTTCACAGGTAAGTACTGTAAAAGTAAACCAACAGACCTGTTAATCCTTTATTAAATATCACACAATGGCAAGGTATAGTCAAACTCTTTATTCCAACTACATAAACAGCAGATAAAATTAACAAGGCCGTATATTCCTAACAATAATATGTTCATACGGTTGCTCAGATAATAGTCACTTAAAGGCTGTTCCTGAAGTTTTCTCATCCTGCCAGGATAAAATTATACAAGGAATTCTGAATACAATACAGCAAACTGAATTTAAATACTAATTCTGATTGAAATATTTTGACTTTAAGATGTTTAATATTCATACAAGTATTGTATTGGCCTTCAAAAGTGTATGAGTGTGAACCACAATGCACACAGCTTTTGTATTTTTTATGGTAGACTCTTTAACATACTCTGTATCAGTATGTTTTTATCTGTATTTTTTTTTTTTTACTTTAAACCTGGTTGTTAACAAGAAGAACCTAGACAAGCTAGCAGCTGTTGCATTTTCTTTGCAAGGATTTATCCATTTAATGCTAAGGCTTTCCACCAAAACAAAGAATATATAAACACAATTTATCTTCTTTTGCATATTCTTATGTTAGCACTGAGATAGGTGAGGACCCCCAGGTTCGCTCAGCTGCCACTCTGGTGAGGAACATCTCATACAAGTACAAGGAGGAGCTGTCCGCACATCTCATTGTGGCCGGCTGGGACAGAAGAGATAAAGGACAGGTCAGTAAGCACATGTAGTGAACCAAGAGAGAACCGAGCTTTAAACAAGAAAGATTACTGGTAAAAATGTATGTTTCTGCAACTTCTGTTAATGTGACTCTGAGGTTTCTCAATAGCTGGAGCAGTTGCTAAAGTTGTTGTCTGATTGCTGCTGGATGCTTTAAATAAAAGATCTTATCCAGCCAATACACTTGATTTTACGACCTGTTTTGTTCCTGTGCCCTTTGACCTCTTCCAGGTGTTTGCAACCCTGAATGGTCTCCTGACAAGACAACCTTTTGCGGTGGGTGGCTCTGGCAGCTCATATGTTTATGGGTTTGTTGATGCCGAGTTTCGCAGGGGCATGAGCAAGGAGGAGTGCCAGCAGTTTGTTGTCAACAGTAAGTTTATTTAAATACAGATTGTTGGATAGTGGAGAGGAAACCAGACATTATCTGCTACTTGTAATTACTACTAAGAAGTGCTATCACTCTGTATTTCATGTTATCAAAATATTTTGTCTTATAAAAACTAAATCATTTAGTTCAATCTCCTCACCTGTCTCCCCCTTCTCTCATTGTCTCTCTTGTAGCTCTCTCTTTGGCAATGAACCGTGATGGCTCCAGTGGCGGCGTGGCTTATATTGTCACCATTGATGAGCACAGCACAGAGGAGAAAGTCATTCTAGGGAATAATTTACCTACTTTCTTTGATCAGTGATCAATATATCGTTTTTTCATCTCTAGTCTGCCAAAACACTGTTGTGCAGGATGCAATTAGATATTTGTTTTGCTCACAGTAGCCATCACACACACACACTTTTCGGCTCAACTGTCACCAAAGGAAGCTTTTAAAATAATAAATATTGGACGAAAAGTCTTACTGAACACTTATTAATTATAATAAAAGGATAAATGACTTGCATTGCTCTATTGTTCCCAAAGCTATTTCAAGTGTAATATAAGGTAGCCTTTACGTTAGTTTAAAATAAAAACTGCTAGCACCTTCACATTATTAGCTGCTCAGGTTTGTTTACTTTTATTAATTTATCTTCCAAAGAAAAATTACTGAGAAGTTGTTAATTTTAGTCTCTGCATGTCATTCGAACAAGGTTATCTCACCAGAAGGATGATGATAAACAGTCACTTGCTGAGACTCTCTATTCGGTCAGTGAGGCTGCCACATGATAAAACTGTCAATTTATGTTTTAATGTTCCTGAGTGGCAGAGAAAATAAACCTACAGAACCTCTGACATTCCTTTATCCTCTCTATAAAGAGTCCAACAGAAACACTCCCACACATACTAACATTAGCAGCAGCAGTTGTCTCTCAGGCATTCAATCTGACAAACAAATTACTAAAAACTGAAAGTCAGATTTGTGGCACCACCACAGGATTATGTCACCTTTTTTCACTAAGATGCCTGATGGATGGTTGGTCATCTGCCTACATAATTCAGACTGGACATAACAACAAGTATGCTTAAATTAACCTACATGTTTATCATAGTGCTGCATAAACTCACATGATGTAATGTAAATTATGTGAAATTCAAATAAAAGCCCCTTGTTGAAAATATATTTTTAAAATGTGTCTTCTTTATAATGAACCATCCCTTTAAGGGCTGTTTTATGCTCTAAGGGAGAATGATGTCTCAGATACAGATACTGGACGTTATAACTGCAGTTTTCATCCAGATAATGTTTAATAAGGAATAAGATGATGTTGATGGATAATAATAATTACAAACTGTTTGACCACTTAGTTTAAGAATCCTGCATTGTCCGACTTAAAATTTTAGTTTTGTGCTCTGCAGTGGATTTCAGGGAAGCCCCTGGTCGTGATAGAAAATGAAACTGAAAGTGGATGAGAACTAAAACACTGGTACCGCGGCAGAGCAGGTCATACGAGGACGACTGTCGGAGAAAATGGCAGGCAATACAACAAAAATCCGCAAAGTCCTTTCTTTGATTTTAGCAGTTTGCGTCGACCTTTCCTTGTTTTACGCATCGGGATGTGTAGTTACTAACAGCGTCTTTGGACATCTTGCGCGTCTCTGGGTTTCTGCTGGTCTCCGGTGTTTAGCACTAACTGCTGTAACTCTGCTCAGTCTTGGAGACTTCAAACCATTGCTGATTCGTTTGATAACGGCCCACAGTCTGCTGCCAGCGGTGTTTGAGACCGGCACCAAAGCGCTCTACCATGAGGAGACCCAGTGTGGCCTATTGGCGGATATTCGCTGCTGGCTGATGTGCACCGGAGCGTCGCTCGCTGCTGCACTGTTTTGGGAAATCACCATACCGGACACCGACGATGCGGCTAACGGTAAAGAGAAGAAGCAGAAAGCCAGAGAGCTGTTTATGAGAGTCTTATATCTGTACAAACCCTACTATCACCTGCTTCTTGGAGGGCTTGTGTTCCTGTCGCTGGCTGTTATCTGTAAGTACAGAGGAGGAGGAGGAGGAGGATGATGATGTTGATTTGCCTGACTAATGTATCTTCATCTCTCTGTACTCTTACATGTACCTGCTGTGTGTGTCTATTCTCAGGTGAGATGTTCATCCCGTACTACACTGGGAGAGTCATTGACATCCTTGGCAGTCAGTACCAGCCAAACGAATTCATGTCTGCACTCCTCTTCATGGGCCTGTTCTCTCTGGGAAGGTATGGGACAATGTTTCCCCTCAACATTCATCCATCAGCATGTTTATGTAACTCACAAGTAGGACAGCTCACTGACTTTCTCTCTTTGTTTTGATTGATTAGCTCTGTGAGTGCAGGCTGCAGAGGGGGTCTCTTACTCTGTGCCATCAGTGCCTACACATGCAGAATGAAAGTCAAGCTGTTTGGGGCTTTGACCAAACAGGAAATTGGATTCTTTGAGACCATAAAGACAGGTATGGCACTTATAAAACTTATAGTAATGCTGTACTGTATGTATAATTTGGAGGGGTGAGAATCAGAGGGGCATAAGTGACATTTGACCAACTCTACAGGAGAGCCAAAACAAAAAAATGACATAATTTGTCCTTTCTTTGTTTAGTTAATTCAGTCTGTAATATTATAACTTTATGAACATGTGACAATATACTTACCAAATAATATTAAGCCCCAAATAGTTCAGTGTGATCAGTGTTAGATTTTGTCTGGATTGCTTTAGAATTCACATGGGCCACTTTGCCAGTAGAAAAAAAAGCTAATCAATCATCATCGGATATATGTAACCCTCTGGTTCTCATCCCTCAATATCTGAGTGCACATGAAGGTCAAAACAAGTCAGGTTAAGACTGGACATTATAGAATAAGACAATGTAGGTCAGGACAGGACAAACTGCACATACAGTACAGGTAGAGGTTTTAACAGGAAATACCACTACAGAACAGGAAAGGAAAGGACATAATATAATTTCCAAACATTTTCTGTGTAGGTGAAATCACATCCAGGTTGTCTAGAGACACCAACTTGATGGGAAGAACAGTGTGTCTGAATGTCAACGTGCTGCTGAGGACATTCATCAAGACACTGGGCATGATCTCCCTGATGATGAATCTTTCATGGAAGCTCACATTCCTCGTATTGATGGAGACGCCTATCACTGGCCTCATTCAGAACATCTACGACACACACTACCAGGTAAAAGCAGGTTGTGATTAATTAACATTGAGATTCATAGACTCATATGTATATGATATCCGTTGCCAAGAAACTTTCTTTAGTAATTTTAACTTCATTTAAATTAATTTAACACATAGGTCCTAATGGCTTTTTAAATATAAAAGGTGCTCAGAAAACAAATTTTTGTAATAGTTTTCCAGTAGTTTTTATTACATATCTAGTCCGAGGATACAATTCCTCTTGCACCGTAAGGATTATTTTCTCCATCACCATAGTACAGGAGTTCCTTGTGATTTGAGACAGATTATTATTATTATTATTCATCTTACATCTCATCATCTTCTTTTTTCTTCCTTAGAGGTTGTCCCTGGCAGTGCAGGACTCAATGGCTCTGGCAAATGAAGCTGCGAATGAGGCAGTGTCCGGTATTCGTGTGGTTCGGAGCTTTAACACAAAAAAACACGAGGCCCGTCGCTATGATGACCGCTTGATGGACACACACATTCTCAAGACCCGCCGGGACACTGTCAGGGCTGTTTACCTGCTCGCACGGAGGGTAAGAAGTTTATCCTTTTTTTTCAAAACTGTTTTATCACTGCATACCATCTTATTTAACCACATTTGTTCCTATGTGGGCGTGTGTGTGTGTCTGCAGCTGACAGGGTTGGCCATGCAGGTCTTCATGCTGTACTACGGCAGGCTGTTCATTCGGAGTGGGCAGATGACTACTGGCAACCTGGTTTCCTTCATCCTCTACCAGTCAGACCTTGGAGACAACATTAGGGTATCTCATATTGCTCTGTGGATTGTTGTCAGTCAAGGATGTTGATTGCACGCACCTAAAAGTAGTAACTTCAGTCAGTTTAGTATAGACCAGGGAAACTGTATTTATATATCATATTTATACACAAAGGAAAAGTCAGTTTGGTTTTCATGGGCATTTAAAAAAGTTACAAATAAAGAAGTTGAAGCAGCAATAATGAACTTTATGTTGTGCTTACTCTCTAAATGAAAACATGTGCTATTAAGTGATCAGTTTTGTGACTGCCATCTTCCAGACTCTCACCTACATCTTCGGCGACATGCTAAACTCAGTGGGGGCTGCTGGGAAAGTGTTTGAGTACCTGGACCGAAAACCTAATGTCAGCACAGAGGGAAAACTTCAACCTGATCAGCTGACAGGACACATCATCTTCCGCCGTCTCAACTTTGCCTATCCTGCATGTCCCAACAAAACAGTGCTGCAGGTGAGGTCTGAACAGCAGGTAGACAAAGGGGGCCTCTGGGGTCAATTTGAAAAGTTCATGAAAAAAGAATATTGTAATGAATAGTTGAAAAAACAAGAGAAAGAAACAAGTAGAAAGTTACAATATATGTATAGTTAGCATTCAGTATGCATTCAATTTTAACCATATTCAGTCCAATAACATTAGGGGTTAGGGGTTTATGTGTGTCTGATAGATAAGTTGAATATTGCAGTTCAACTGTGTTATTACAACCCTTGTTGGTTTCAGGACTTTTCTTTGGAGCTGAAGTCAGGTCAGATGACAGCACTGGTGGGTCCATCTGGAGAAGGAAAAAGTACATGTGTGAGTCTGCTGCAGCGATTCTATGAGCCGCAGGATGGAGAAATCCTCATGGACAGTGAGCCACTGAAATCCTATGACCACCATTTCCTTCACAAAAAGGTAATTATTAATTTTCATCCCTCTTTTGGGGAATAATCTGTGAAGAAATGCACTTGTGATACTTAAAGTACAATTTGTGTGATTGCATGTATAATAATACTGTGGGATAGTGTCCTATTTTTGTAGTCTAAAGTACCTAAAAGTTTGTCTAAGCTACAACCAGCCTGAGTGATTGTAATTTAAGTTAGAAAATGTACCTTAGTGTACTTTGTCACAATTTAATTGTATTTTGAATGCTGTAAAATTATATACACTGACAGTATATTTTAAGTAAAACTGTTTAAGAATATATTGGTAATACACTATAAATTCAACGTCAGTTATATACCCTTTTTACATTAGCAAAATTGTACTTTTTAAAGTTTTTTTTGTAAGTATATTTTTACACTAATGAACTATTTTGATATAGGTGAGAGTTCACAAAAATATGGGTTTAATGTACTTAAGCGTGCCTTAGGTGCAGCTTTCAGTATGTAAGTACAACTTAAGTGGTTTAAATATAACACAACTTTAAGTATAGTAATTTTAAACATTTAAGTAAAATAGTAGTATTAGTATTTAATTAAATCATATGATATATACTTTTAAAAAATATACCTTTTTTCCACTTGTGAATGGAATTCAGGAAAATGTTGGAAAGCAATAAGAAACATCCAATAGTACCCACAAATCCTCATATTTCCTCACAACTCTCAGCATATTGTCCATCAGGAGGACATTTTGAGATTTGGCAGGTGCTATAACTATGTATAACTTATGTATTAACAGATTGCAGTGGTGAACCAGGAGCCTGTGCTCTTCTCTGGCTCCATCAGAGACAACATCGCCTATGGGCTCGCTGACTGCTCATTGGATGAGATCCAGGAAGCAGCACACAAAGCCAACGCCCATGATTTCATCGAGCAGCTGGAGAAAGGCTATGATACAGGTTAACTCTTTTAACTACCCTTCATGCTGTTTTACATAGAAAGCTGCTTTGGACAAAGATAAAGCAAGATTGATGATGGAAAATTAATTTATTTATTTTAAACATTTATGCATAATGGCTAAATATACATTTATTTTGGAGGGTTAGTGCTGACCATACCTTTAGTTTTTGAGTTTTAAAATTCTTATATCTTGGTCAGATCTGTTGTGATTTTATAATTTTTCTCAGAGGTCGGTGAGGGTGGCGGCCAGTTGTCGAAGAGTGAGAGGCAGCGAATCGCGATTGCTCGAGCTCTAGTCAGACAGCCACAGGTCCTCATTCTGGATGAAATAACGAGCTCTTTGGACACTGAGAGTGAAAATAAGGTAAATGTAGCACTTTCTAACACAGTGGTTTCCAGTCATGTTCCCTCCGAGTTAAGAAGCCTCTAGGTTTTCTATTTTAATTGAAGACCTGAAGACTCTATTTAATAGATACATAGAGGATGACTGTCAGAGTTTATATATATATATATATATATTTACATATTTATTTTGAACATGTAAAAGAAAAGAGAAAACAAAACAAAATAAAATGAAATTAACAATAACTTTCCTCCTAATCCTCATAAACATCATAGCTTCACATAATAACATAACTTCACCTCCACATGTGTTATATGTAGACATATACACACATGTGCATACCTATATAAATACACATATACCCTATGTAAGAATAATCCAACTGCTATATACAACAAGTACTGTACTATGTATCGCACAGTTTCAGTAAACTACAACATATTTGTGCTTTGCTTCAGTTCCCAATCAGTACAAGCCAAATGTCTTTCACTGCTTCACATAAAAGTTAAAAACTTTTTTTGAAAAATGTAATCTAATACATCTAATAATTTAGCTTTTAGTTTTTGACTTCTTTGTCACTGATCTTGTATGCATGCTCTGAGTGCTCACTCACTCCAATCATATTCAACCTCAGTAAATCTGCTTGCTAAAGCACAAAGCTGCAGAGGCATAGGAAATTATGTAACATCTTGATTTATTTTTTATTCTTTTATATACCACAGTACATAATGATATAGCTAAGTATCTCTTTTGACATCCTTTAGCTCTGCTTAAACCTAAAAACAAAGATATTAAGCTATATTTATGTCGTTGACTCCGCACAGGTTCAGCAGGCCCTGGCTAGTTGTCCCAACCAGACCCTGCTGGTGATCGCTCACAGGCTGAAGACGATTGAGAAGGCCGATCAGATCGTTGTGGTTAGTGACGGCAGAGTTCAGGAGCGAGGCACTCACCAGGAACTGATGGACAGGAAGGGGAGCTACTACAAACTGAAAGAGAAGCTCTTCACTGAGGGAAACTCACCACAGCGTTAAACTGATGCTGTAGCTTGATGTATTCTGTGAGAGATTGTTCTGTATGTGCCGTATGTGTTTGACATCAGGGCCAACAGCAGCTAACCTGATAAAAATGTGAGAGAGCAAGCTGGAGTTTATGTATATATTTTTGTATAAATAGTGAAAATCAAACAACATGGACCAGTATGTTTGTGTATTTTAAAACGTGGCCTAAAAAGCACCTTCACACCCGAATAATATACATTTGTTCTTATTTATTTTGCAGACTGTTGAAATTACATTGGATATTTTAAATTTATCAATTTAAATGTATGATGGATTTTCCCCTCTGTATAGATTTTCAATTTCATGTCTTGGTATTTGGTAAAGATGAATAAAAGTTTTATGCAACAGTACACAGTTGACACCATAAACCTTTATTTATGATCAGAGTGGCCAAAGGTTGCTGTATGGGTATGTCCCAAATAAAACATTGATCAATGTGGTGGAAGTTTGACCGAATAAAGGAAAACCAAACAAAGAGAATTTGTCTTTGTATATTTATTCAAGCTTCTGCGCAGAAGGATCAACACCAACAAGTGACGGTCAGCGTCAGGC